AGCTCACGATATATTGGGGGGGAAATATGGCAGTACTATAAGTCAGAGAGTAGTTAAAATTTAAGTTGTTCGAAGAAATAGTTTATTAGAATATAAATAGTGTTAGACTTGACTTGTATTGAGAAACATACGCACATGTTATTAGCAGCGCAATATTGCTATCTTGTTTATTGTAAACTCATTATTGAATAAACTATTACAAGTTGGTATTGTCCAAACATTCTTGCTTGTACCACTTACAAGAGTTTCGATTAATTATCCCACGATACACCCACACCCACACAAAAGAAATAGATAGATAGATAGAGTTCATCACTTGAAATTCCGATTGAATGACTTTTTAATGTCTGCTTGGGTTAACTAAATATGTAATTATTTAAGTATGATTTTCTACAAAAATATTGAATTTAAATACTCTTGAGAGAGAGAACGATCTATTCAAAGAATTTTACTCGATCCTTTCGAAATTATTTCATATACTAGCTATACTCGAGAGAGAAAGAGATTTCCTTTTATTCTTACGTTTTCTCTTCTAGTTAATATTCCTGCTAATATCACAGAATAATTTATATAGAGTTTAATAAAAGATATTGGCTTGTACTTATGTCAGTGATAGAATTTTTGGAATGAACAATAAGATAAATATGATTTAGCAGTATAACTATCGAGCAATAAGAAAACTTAATTTGAACAATTTTATAATATTAAATGCCCAGGGTGAAGCAACCGGCCCGGGAAACGGCCGGTTCCCACGATTTCACGGAAGCAGTATTCCGGATCGGGAAATCTACGGATTTTTCCTGTAAATTCCGCTAAGTTCCTGTTGGTTCCCGCCGGAAATTATCGGAAATCACCGGGAAAATCCGAAAAAATTCGTCCCGGAATCCTGCTTCCAGGGTCCGCTGATATCCGGCGTTTTCCTGCACGTTCCTATGCGTTTCCAGTCTGTTTCTGGCCGGTTCTAATGAAATCCGCTCATTTTCGGAGCCGGGAATCATCGTCCTGGGTGAGCAACTAAAAAGAGAAAAACTACATTATGTTTATTTACAATTGACAAGAAAAAAACAAAAACATATATAAGTGATCACTGTACCAATCTTCACTTGTTTCTTTGCTCAGGTGGAGGTTTCCAATATTTTAATCTAATGAACATATACCAATAATGTGCTTGCATATATATTTTTTCATGAATGATGGACTTCAGCATTGTTAGAGCAGACAAATAATATATATCGTTGTATCACCATTCATAATCTAGATATAACGTCTGTGTTCAGCTTAACCCAATTGTATGCATCAGTTCGCAATAGGATAATGTTATTGATAAGAGATATAGGATTTCGCGTTCTTTGGACCATTTATTGACTATAGAAAAATAACAGATTCAACGCGTTGCTAGAAGGTTGAGTTTACATTAACCATTTTCAGAATCAGAATTATACTGTGCTACGTGTTTTTGCGATTGAATCATTGGTTTAGTGGAATCTGGACATCGGAATTTCGACAATGTCGAATTTCCAGTGGAATTTCGTCAAAATGTCCAATTGTACCGGAAATCGGACAAAATTGTCGAGTTTCCGAATTTGTCGAAATTCTTCAGGAATTACGACAATATCAATTTTTGCTGATGATTTTATTGTCCAATATCCGATGGAATTTGAACAACATACATTTTTGCTGGTTATTTTATTGTCCAATTTCCATCGGATATTGGACAATATACATGATAGTTGGAACTAATGTGCTTGGTTGAAATACATATTCACTCGTTTGTCACTGAACAGAAAAGCTAAGAAGTACTATGTGATTATACAAAGTTTCACATGAAAACATTTGTATTTTGTATTATTAGAAGCGCTAAAAAGAGAAAAAAGCAAAATATGTATGATTTATATATAAGTAAGTCGAACATGAGAAATTGAAAGAAAGAAACAGAATTTTAGATAGGAGATATTCTTAACCTATGACATACATTTTTCAAAACAAGCGTGTGTGGGTGTCGGATTGCACGTGGGTTTGACTATTTGTTACTACGCCCATATCCACACCATCAGATTAAGAATATCTCCTATCTGAAATTCTGTTTCTTTCTTTCAATTTCTCATATTCGGCTTATTTATATATAAATCATATGCATTTTGCTTTTTGCTTTTTTTTAGCGCTTCTAATAATAAAAAGAGAAAGTTTTGTGAAATTCGGATATATTGTCAAAGAAAATGGTGAGTGCAAGTTTAAAAACGAGATTTTTGCTGGTCCCAACCTCCCCCACTCACCATTACAGATATTAATGAGTTTAAAATTGTGCTAATTAGGAGCTTGGCTAGTTAGACTGCTATTTCTTCCTTTTTTAATTACAGACTACACGAAAACAGCAATGTTTGTCCATTACAGACCATAGAAACTAATATCTGTCATTGTTAAATATACGAGCTAACACTTAATACTCGATCACAGACATAAGCAAATAGGCAATGAGCTAATTATAGATCGTGGAAATCAGGGTAGATTTTTCAGATGAACTATTTGAATTGTTTTAGTAAGCCGAAGGGATATATGTGAGTTCCACATTTTAGCTCCAAAAGGGGCTGCGTTAACAAGCTTTTCATTGTGAAACTTTGTATAACTACATAGTATTTCTTTGCTTTCTATTCACTGACAAATGAGTGAAAGTGTATTTCAATCAAACATTAATTTCAACTACACTGGAAAGAAATAGCACCACACGGAACCATTTTTGAAACGAATTCGAAACTTTCAAACAGGTTCCGTAAAACTCCAAGATAGTCTCGAAACGTTTATATATAGTCCAGGAAATTTTTCGAAGGTACTGTGGAAAACCTACGAAACCTAAAAATGGTTCAAAATTCGTTTCAAAGCTCGAAACCCTTTTTAAGTTCAGTGAGAAAATTTGAAACCTTTTATGAGTTTTGCACTGAGGACGAAAACGTTTTGGTTCCGTGTGATGCTATTTTGTTTTCAGTGTATGATGCATGTTGCCCAAATTCCATCGGATATTGGACAATAAAATCATCAGCAAAAATTGATATTGTCGTAATTCCTGAAGAATTTCGACAAATTCGGAAACTCGACAATTTTGTCCAATTTCCGGTGCAATTCGACATTTGTCGAAATTCCGATGTCAAAATTCTAGTTGCCCAAGTTCCAGTTTCTCTACAATAGCAGCATGTCGATTTGACTGGTGCATATAAAAACAAGTTTGCCACATGATAATTTGTGACTTGATAAATGACATAAAAAATGTAGTAATACAAGTGTATGATTCTAAAAGAAAACATTTTAGATTCATTTAGTAAACATGCAAAACTATCATTGATTAGATAATAAAATATTGAATTAAAAGTGGGTGAGGGATTCAATGAGCAATCAGGATATGTATAAAGTATTTTAAATGCACCTAAAATTACAAAGAGAAACACTGTAAATGACATGAGATTATCAACAATGTGTGATATACATCGTTTCATTGAAATAAAACTATTATTGAGATCCCTCTACAATTAAAATGCGATGTAGCTGCTCCTGTTAATGCAAGACAGATAGTCTTTGTGTGACATATGTCTTTACTATCCGTTTACTTAAAATTCCAGAAATGGAAATAGAAATAAATTCACATATCAGTACCAGGCATTATTGATATAAAATCTTTGATAAACCACGTCTTTCTTATTTGGTAAATTAATTGAGAGGGACAGACCTCGACTTTGATCTCTACAATATAACATTATTTCCATTTTAAATTTAATAAAACAGAGCACAATTATTTGAGCAAGATGTAGTAATAATACACCCCCCTTCTGGCTATCTTTTGCTTGTGAAGGATATCTAGTGGTAGATTGAGTACCTCGATATTTTTTGACAACTGTAATGCGAACGACAGTTTTTCACAGACAATCGAATAATCATGGCGTTCGTTTGCTTTCTTGCTAGAGCCCTGTTGGCTCACTACTACTAAATCATAGTAGCCGACATTTTCAAAAGTAACACTTACATCGGGATTATGTGAGTTGGCTTGAAAGATATTTGACAATAGCATCTTTGAAATAACATCTATTCATATGTGATCATTCAAATTTTTAAAGGAGTCGATCACTGAAATAAAATATTTGGAAAATAATTCAATTAGATAATCTCAATTGCTGTCTTTTCTAAATTGTCTGGCAAAGGTTTTCGTCTCTCTCTCTCTGTCTTATTTTTAATTCAAGAAAAAATAAATTAGACGAAGTTCAGACTTGTGGAGGTGGCATTACCATCATGAGTATTTTTGTTTTACTGGGCTCAATATAGTCTAATAAGCTTCTATTTTTAATCATGCGTGATGAAATACAAGCATTCTTAAGATCTAAAACAGATATATTCGCAGAAGAATTGAGACATGAATATTAATGAAATACTACATTTATATAGTACTAAACTTGCTCTATCCTTGAAATGAACACTAAAAGTACAAATAAAATTTGAACAAATTAGTTTATCTGAACTCTGAAAACAAAAATACTATTTATTTTAAATGTACTTCAGTTGATAATGAATGTAAAAGAAAATGATCTCATTTGTTTGCTATTTGATTGATCGAAAAAGAATGAAAACTATACTAACACTTGAACACATACGAGACTGCGTTATAATTCGAATACATAAAAGAATGAGTATCGTTTTTTTTTATTATCAAGTCTTCCATCGTTAGGTTTTATATTACGATAAAACTCCGCGAATGTTAGTTCGCATGAAAATGGAAACAAATCGACAAAATATAGTTGAGTTTATCTACATATATCTTTTTTTTTAATATATAGTTCTCATTATAACGACTTATTATACTGTTATTTTACTTTATTATATATTGTTCAACATTTTAAACGGAAAAGAATTATGAAAAAGAAACTTTTTGTTTTAATCAAATGTTCCATACGATTGTTCATTAATAGTAATGTTGATACGAAGACTTGTATTATTTTCTTTTGCTGCTTGATTTTGTTCTTTTTCTACACGTTGCCTTTCATCTTCATCACGTCTTCTATAGGTAAATCGCGTTAACACAACCATTACAATACAGCTGACTCCAACAACTAATACAAGAAAATTTACTAATTTATCTCGATTTGGTGCAACAAATAGAAAAATAAGCGAAATAATATTTATCCATTGAACAAGAATTGATGCTGACAATGATTCAGAAAGAGAAAACATTATTTCAGCAAGTGCTTCATAGATCAATGGTGTTGCCGCACCTGAAAATAGACCAGCTATTGCAGTTGATAATCCAATTTGTAACAGCCGTGAATGAAAGAATATGTTTATCATAGAATAAACTTATGAACACAAAGTTCAAACCAAACAATACCACACAGACAACCAATCAATGAGACAAGAATAAACGTCTTCAATGTATGTTGAAAACGGCGTGTATCAGCAATAATACTTAAAATAAGACCACCGACAATTCCAACAATCGAAGAACCGAAACCAAACCAACCTTAAGCATGTAGAATATAATAATTTTTTTGTGTATTTCTCAATATTACTAATTTCAAAAAACAAGTAGTAGCAGATGGCAATGAATATGGTAACTCTGTCGATCAATTCTATAGGTCTCAATACATCTTTTTATTGATTGAGATTATTCAATCTATATGTCAGACAATGGAAATCATCGTGTAATGAAATGAACAGTTGGTAATAAACGAGACGTGATTCTCTTATCCTCGTGATATTGTTGTCGATCAATTGGATATTGTCTATGTGGACGCTACATAGGGAAGGGTTATTATCGGTGAAAATGGTCTATGAACTCAGTATATGATGTTTAGAAAATCAGTCAGAATTATGTTGAATACCTTTTTTTTTAAGATTAAATAATTTATAGGAGTTTTCTATATTTTAATTTAATATTCCGTTAAGTTTTATTCAACATAATTCAGATTAGAAGTAGTATAACTTAAGAACTGATAAAATTTCTTCGTTTTAATCTTGTATTTTGACATGTTCAGGAAGAAAATGGTTATTTTCCATGCTGTACAACTTTTACTCGTTTTTGATGATATTTTCTTTGTTAGAACAAAAGACTTAATGAAAACGTATTGATGAGAAAGTAAAATTCATCATGAATATTTTATAGTTAAGAATCAAATAAATCCTAATTTTAGTCGAAAATTCTAAATTGATATTTAATTGAGATTCGATACAATTATCACAATTCATTAATGCAGCTTAATACAAATAATTACTAATAAATCTTTTAAATAACAATGATGAAATAGAGTTTTTTTTATGTGTTTCTACTTCTATTATGCCTATAGATGTTCGAAGTCCTTCAATACAAGGAAATTTCAAGTGAAACATTATGATAACCTTTAAATAATCGGAAATTTTTATTTTCCTTCATTTAAGTTTAGAAACATGATTTGAAGTCTCTTTGTTCGAAAATTTATTTCATAGAGAAATTTTCTCTCTACAAAATTAACGATTTGAATATCTAGTCGAATAAAATGTACTTAACTATTCAGCTCAAAAATACGATAAATATTTTTAATATTCGCATAAGAATTTATTTTCAATTGTCAACAATACACAATTAATGTTAACATAATGTGATGAACGAAAATTTTTTTCTTTTTCTTTTTCCTTCGAGAAAGCAAAAGAATCGTTTTTTATGCTTTTTTAATGCGATGCGAAGCAGAAGCATTTCTGTAGTCCGTCGCGAGTTTTTTGTTTTCTTTTATACTTGAGATCGTACGCATCTTTTTCTTCATTTTCCATCTCAATGATCTCGAAAACGGAGGATCATAAAAAAAACTCGTTAAAACGTGAGATCGAAGTATCAAGATCGAACTTCTTACCTCTGTTTTCGAATCTTCAATCCGAAGTTCTGTTCGCTCACAAATATGGTTCCAAAATGACGAAAATGAAAGAAATTTGTTGTGAGATAATTAAAATGACGCCATCAACATATGCTAGCTACTATAGTCTATTCACTTACAGCTGATGTAAAATAATGAATCATAGAGATAATTATTCGTTCAATTGAAATCGATCCTTAAGAATATATCGCTAAGTATGAATAGAGTTTTCAGAGAGATGAATAGCACTATGGCTTCCTAAAAAAGTATTCAAGATTTCTCTCAATTGAAGATTTTTCCTAGGAAATTCAGATTCCTGCGTCGCATCGCATTTCGTATACGAGTGAAACTCGAATACCATCTAGTTTTTCTTGTAAGTATTTTTTTGTTGTAGGTTGTGATGGCAGCAAATAAATCTTCATGATAGTTGTGTTAAACGTGGTAAAAATGGTGGGATACTTTTTGGTAATGGTTGTCAACGAACATTATGTTTTAAACATGTTAATGAACATCGAGATGAAATTGAAAAACAGTTCGAAGATTCAATTAATCAAAAAAAATCAAATTGAAAATGATATTTCAATAAGAGATGATTCACATTATTTATTTAATGAATTGATCAATGGAAAAGAGAAAATATTGAACAAATTAAAAAAATAGCTAAACAAGATCTTCGAAAATAAAATGGTGAATCAAAGGAAATATTATTAAAAAATTGCCAAGAACTTAAAGAAAATCTATGTTTATTAAAAGAATCAGAAGATTTATCAGAAATTAAATAATTTAAAGAAGCAAATAAATTCATTTGAATTAGTTGAATCTTCAAATTCGATTTTTGTAGAGGTTGAAAAAAAGAAACAAATGAAATTTTTCAAATGAAATCTCCATTTGATGAAAAAGCTTCTTCTAGTATTGAATAAATTCGTTCAAAAAGCCAAGGTAAATAAATATGAATTATTTTTATTTTCATATATCTATTGAAAAGTTGACAAGGTTCAATATTAATACGTGAAATTGATCTATATGGGCATTTTATTATAGTAATTGAACATAATGGTTTAACAACAAATAAAGAACAAGATGTGGTTGGATGGACATTGAAACGTTCAATTGATTCTTATTCAAATGTTATTCATCGATTTCCTAATGATTTTATTCTTTAATCAAAATCATTCATGAAAATTCTTTCAAGATAAGCGACTCAAACTCGGTATAGATATGAAAAAAACAATGTTTTAGTTGCTGAATCAATACAAACATGGGGAACTGGAGTTAAAACAATAATTAATCATCTTACTGATGCAAATGGAGACAAGAGAGACGTTCTTACACAAATATTTTAATCATTTTCTGTTTTCACCATTCAATATTTATTTATTAAAAAAGTTTCAACAAATTGTGTAGATATCTTTTCGTTTTTGAACTTCTCTAAAATATTTCTCAATTTATGCAACATAGATATACCAATTAATTAATTTAAGATAAATTTGCGTTCTACGTCAAATAGATTGTACTTTCTCTAAAAACAGAGAAGATTTTATTTCTATTTCTTTGATTTTCTTTGTTCTATATGTTACAAAATTTATTGTACCTTTGAAATTAAATACGTGTTCCATAAATTGAATATCCGAAATGAAAAAGATCGTATGATAATCAAATTAAAGAAACATCTGAATAAGAATATGTTGTTCGATTCTTCCTCAAGCCTTTTATCCTATCGAGGAAAAAAAACAAAGAAACGTACAAAAAAAATAAATGAGATAAAAGTCATTAAGATAAAGTATGTTCTTCAAGGAGTTTCATTATAGGCCATGTCAAGCATGTTAGGGACATCCATTAATGCATTCAGCGTATGGACATAATCATGAAGCATTTTAGCCGATTGGATCGCATCAAAACTGAAACATACCGTTTGACAGATGATAGTGACTAGATAGAAACTTACAAAATTGTGAATTCCATGAAGCCTTGGTAAATAAGTGAACCTGATAGATCAATTTTTACAATTGAACCATGAAGCAGAGCTAATTTTTTGAGATTATCAGCAGCTTCTATAAAATGGTCAAAATACATATAAAAATAAGGCAAGTGTAATCTTTAATGAGCTCACCCTGCCAATTGTCGCCGTATTTGTTTGGTATTTGACCGCTGAAGTTACTTTGAGAATGACGAAGTTGCTAGAAAAAAAATATAAGCAGTTGTATGATTTTTGTTTATATTCTAAAGGGAAAAGTATAACTGATTGTTTTTGAAAACAAAATAAATAAGTGACTAAATTCATTAAAGTAATAAATGTAATTTTCTAAACATACTTGCTCGATTACACACATGTTCAGATCAATTTGAAAAAATGCGCAAATAATGCTAACGAAATTAGCTGGTTTAGGTTTATATATATAGAGCGAAGAACAAAGACCATAAGAGGCATCATACTCATCCAATCTAAACTATCGACCAAGTGATTATTTTTCTTTTTTTTACTGAGCAGGTGTGTCGCCACTCGTTGTTTTTTTGTAGCGAAACGATAGTGTCTCAATGGACAGAGCATTCTACGAGCTAAGACAATGAAGAGAAATGGAACGGAATTAGATGGTTAAGTCGTAATTCAGTCTTTTTATCGAAGATTATATCACACAGAATTTGAAAGGGTAGAGAAAAAAACAAGTTGGTGGTCCAGTAGAGTGCATACAGGAAATGTGCAGCGAAGATTCTGAAATTTTCACCATAAATGTTGGAAAACTAACTTATTCGATGAAATACAAAAAAACAGACAGAATTGAATAGAAACTTAGCTGTTTTTGTGCCGTTGTCTAAACTAATGTGATAGATAACTTTCTCTTGTAGTACTTATATAGAAGACTCAGCGCTTAAGACAGTCGTTTAGCATAGCTAAAACAAGTCGAAAGAAGTTGGACAGTGTCCATGGCAATAGCTACTACTACAAAATCTTTGTCGATATGTGTCAGCGGACTTCTAAAGAATGCTGTCGATTGACCACTTAATCAACTGTCATAACAGCTGTAGTAGATAAAATCAGTTTATAAAAAGGTTTTATTTTCGCGTTGGAAATAAATTTCTGATTATTCGAGTTTCACATCATCGCTTTCGTTTCGCGAAACATGAATTGTGGGTTTGTACTTCTAAGAATATTGTTCCACATAAACACTGTGACTTATAATGCATTATATATATATATATATATATATATATATTGCAACTGAGACACCGAAACTAGCAAAAGCGCAACTGCAGATGTTGATACTATTATACGAAAAAGTTATCCATATGACATGTCATGGAAAATGTGTAAAAAATGTTACGTGATATGGCGCGAACGGGAGCAAAGATCGAAAAGACTTGAAGACATAATGTTTGAACAATTTCATTTAACAATACGAATAAAACAAAAGTCACTTACTGGTGGTGGACCCCATAACATTCCATTCGTTCGGTAAAAGTATGATCGTAGCATTTTCACAAGAAATAGTGTTATTCAAATTTATGAATGATACTGGAAATAAAATTAACGTATAATTCGTTATCAGTCTAACAAAGAAAAGACGTGGATAGAAACGCACAACAAGAAACACAATGTATTATGCACAACGAAAAAATAACGAATAAATCGATTAGATAGAGGCGATATGTACGTGTTCTTCGAGGGTTGTTTTCATCTTTTCTGTCTTTTCGCTGTGAAAACACTGACTACAAATCTAAAAAAGAGAAATTTATATATGATGTTTCGATCAGGGTTGCCACCTGATGAAGTCCAAAAAGCGGGAAAATAATCTTAAAAAGCGGAAAATAGCGGAAAGAAAACCAGACAAAGCGGAAAAAAAGCGGAAGCTTATATTGTTGCAGATTTGTGATGCTTCTGAGAATATTAGGCATTTTTTTCATATTTATTGGATTTCTTTTTATTTCATCAAAGTTTCAAAACATAAAAAGATGATGGCTCACAGTATTTGTAAACAATAAGAATTGACTCAATAATGTCAAATATTATTCTGTACGTATGTTTGATATGCAACACATTTTATACGAAAAAGCGGAAAAATAGCGGAAACTTTCCGCAAAAAGCGGAAGGGGTGGCAACCCTGGTTTCAATCCTTGATAATTCGCCATTCTTTTCGAACAATATGTCCATACAAAAACAAAAACTAAGAGAATACAATAACCGCTTGTTAAACCTTTTCAATCTCGCGTGTCGTCTACGAGATGACATACAGAGCAAACAAAAAGTATTTTGCGTTCTTTCGTCTTCCAAGACGACGAATGTCATATGAAATGTGCGAAGGAAAATCAGTTAGCATGGCTATGAATAACGAATCTAGATTTCGTACGCATAATGTTTTATCTCAACGCAAGAGAGAGGTTAAACTATCTTTTTTCGTGTTCGTGCAGCACGGAAGAAAATGTTGGGATTGAAACGGTTAATAGTATGAGGACGATCAAAAATAAAATATGATTAAGTGATGAATATCGGTTTAATATACAATATTAACATTGGCACTAGAAACAGTTCTTTTTTAATATTTCTCTTAGATGATCAGTTAATTTCTATGAATAAATGACGAAAAAAAGCTAAAGATGACAACACCAATTATCTCATCTTGCTAACAATCCGATAACATCATTTCAATAGTCGTTAATAAATACTGCTAAATGGAACATTTTTACGTGTTCTAAATCGTGTCTACGAAGCACTAGATGTCTAAAGTCAATTCGATATAGCAATACGTATTATCTGTATATCTGTTGATGTAGGTTGTGATGGCAGCAAATAAATCTTCATGATAGTTGTGTTAAACGTGGTAAAAATGGTGGGATACTTTTTGGTAATGGTTGTCAACGAACATTATGTTTTAAACATGTTAATGAAC